CATTCTAATGTGCGATTCTTCTGATTGAACACATGTTCTATTTTCAAGCAAATTGGTACACTACGGTATAGGAATTTCGAAGAGGGCCCGAAGTAGTGCAGTAAATAGGTCGTTTTGAGGTATTGTAGTTAATAAAGCAAAAACATTTTGCAATTCAGTGCATGGGGAGCACTAGCTCGGGAAAATGCGTTAGTCTGATGCAGTGATATGAAATGATCAACAAGAAAAACAACTTAAATGATAGTTACCGATTCAGAGTAAACGAGACGTCTAGATGCAACAGGGCCAAGACATCGTTCATATTTGTGCCGATAGAGATATCCACCTCTACCACCATTTACAGATGTACTTGTAACATGAACTAAAGGAAAAATCATTGCAAAATCGCATCAAACCGAACCACATGCTTGTATTTACTGCAATTGAAATGTAAGCGAGATCATGAAAGATCGTCAGTAATTCAAGTCACACGTCAAATATTCTCATGACATTATCATCAGAACATTCAGCATCTATCCGATGCATATAATTGTAGTTTGGCTGTTGAACTGACTGCTTGTGATCGACGGCCTAACGCCTAATTCGAAACGTCCATATCGCCTTCAAAAATCCAGCTCCCTGTCAAAGCAATTACCTTCGCTCTACTAAAATGCTCAAACGCAATCACTTTCATTTGCACTACTTCATCATCGGTCCACTGATTAATGTTAATCTTCAATTTCTCTTTAATTCAACTAGCAATGCGTACAGTAAACATGACTTACCCTTTTCACATGCCCAGCTGATGTTAATTATGAATGCGAACAACAGAAGAATTTTGAGCATTTTTGTGCTTAACATAAAACCATCGCTGGTTGATTGGCTGCACTGGAAACATTTCATTCATTCGACAGAATTATTCGTAATTTTCAGTTATCAAAGAATAGGATACTGTCAGCATGATAGGATATTTTTGATAGAGTCATCAATAACTAGAGGAATGTACAAAAAAGAATGTCAGTTTGATTTGAGTGACACACAAGAGGGAGTACTCAATCACTTATTGACAGCGATGGTCACGATCGTTCTGATCTGTTGATTCGTGGGGTGCGAACGAAAGTTTCCAGGTTACTTTTTAAATTTAACGTTTCTTTGGAACGATTTTAATGGATCTTTTTTGTGGCTTGTCGTAGAACAGCATAAAGATTTTGAATGAAGACGTTCAAGACGGTCCATCTCCTTATGGAGGAGTGCAGACGAGGCAAAGGATGCCAGTGTCGAATTCTTTCGATTGCTTATATAATCTAGTTGAGCATCAGCATTCACATCGATGTTGACATCTTCCGAATTCTCAAGATTAAAATCAGAAGAATATTTGATATTCAATAAGCTATCTATAATTCAATCGTTCAATTATTCATAACTGCTAAATTTGAAATGTTGACTCCAATAACATTTTAAGCGGCATAGATTATTCCAGGCGTGAAACGATCGTGAAACTATTTTATTGCTTGAGAAATGCGAAATAACCTCATCATCAAAAGATGCACTTTTTGCTTATTTATTTTCTTTGTACACCTCAGGTCATATTCAACCGTACAGCCATCAAATACGATAATCATGTCGGTGAACTCAGAGCCTACTAATGACCCATGAGCATTCACAAGAACTGCTAATCCTGATCCATCAACGCTTGTAATGCGGCTCCATTGCCGTAATCTACAGCATCTAACTCATATTACCTTACTATTGCTCGTACTTCAAACCAGTGTTCTCTAGAATCCAATGCTTTTTCTAAGGGATAACGTTTGCAAATCAACTGATTATACTAGCATCCCAATCATGATCTCTTATCACTAATTTAAAAACTTTCTCAAACTAATCAACTACCATTTTGTCGAATGTCCAAAGGTCTGGATAATGAGCGAAATGGATGACTGCATTGACTTGGTTGAATCGCTTTCACATCCTTTATCACCACCCATCAAGAAACCATCCATCGAGTTACAGTATCAGTGATATTGTAACTACGGTAATACTGATTTGTTTGCTGATGGTTAAAGACGCAGGTGGTGTGGCAACTCGACCAAGCATGATTCCATATGACGAATTTGCTCGTCCACTGAATAATTGTATTGCGATAATGTAGAATTAGTAAAGCAACGAGGAACCACATTAATTTGTTATATATTGTTATTTGTCTTGCATATTGGTGTTTTATATTGTACTGGTGTTATATACAACATTATATATATATATTGGTGTTATATATTATCTGTTTTGTATTTACAATCAATGAAATGTGTTCATTGTTTGAATTATTTCACCAACAAGCATCAAGAGTTGTCTAGTGTTTTGAATTGTTTGACGATATGTTCGTGTCTACGAGTTTCGATATTCATTATTTGTGTTTATTTGTTTCCTTTATGTCCAATATTTTCAACGGCATTTATTTAGTAACAATTTATTTAGTTCTGATGCGATCACAACTTTGGTTGTTTATTGTGGTTAATGTTATTTTAAGGAATCGCATCTGAGATGCTTGATCGACTGAAACGGACACTTGGTTTAGGTGATAGTGATGTGCCATCTGAACCCACCTTACCAACAACCCAGCCGCAAAATGGAAGTAATAGTGACCAACTGGCAGATGATGATGTGGGTTTTGTTTGAAAAGTTTATGTTACCATTTTTAGAATTACATTTATTTTCATTTTTCTGTATCGCTTTTCATTACTATCTCGTTTTGAGGTTATTTATTCATGTTTGAACGTTTATTCATGTTTTAAGATGGTTTACTCATGTTTTAAGGTAGTTTATTCATTTTTGAAGTGAGTTTAAATGTCGATGGTTTTAGTTCACTGTAATCTCATCGTTATCATGGGACTTACGAGTTCAATGTTTTATTGGTATGTTCTTCTTGTCGATATTGTGCTCGGTATTGGGGAGTGCATTGTTATTCACAAGACGAGTGACTGGATTTTGTGTGATGGTATCGTTGGGTGGGGTTCTGTCGTTACTCGGGTAACTTTACTACGTTCATTTAGCGTACTTGAAGATGCAAGAAATTGCTATTGTATTGATTCTAAAAGCTGGAAACACGGATTTTGATTAATGCGCAAATTATATCACTGCCAAACCCTTTCAAGTTATCATATTTCTTAGAAAAAGTTACGTACACATCTTTTAGAGTATATGCAAGTCAACGATCACTCCATAGAGTCTTTAAACAGGCCAATTCTGTGCTCGCAAATTGAGAGTATATCGCATGCTCTGAGGGTATTTCAATGATAGAAACTTCAAAAAGTTGTGAAACGTTTTCAATCGTATGATGCCATTATGAACTTTGGTATTTTAACGAAAATCTTCACTAACGTTTCAAAAATCAATTGTTTAGTAGATAAAAGTCCATCGTTTCACTGCATATTTTTTTAGAAAATGTAGTTTTCTGTTAAAATTTTCAATTATAGAACTTGTTTTCTGATGGGTCCTCTCAAGCAGCTGCAAAAGATGTTCGAACGAGGTCGTTTCATTGCAAGTTTTCTGTATTTGGGTACAATTGCTATGACACTAGTTGCTGGATTGGTGCTAGCGAATGCTCCGTTGGCACTTTTGTTTGTGGTACTTCAATACGTTGCGATGGCATGGTACTCCATATCATACATACCGTTCGCGAGGTTACTATTGAACAATTTCACTCTCAAATTTTCACCTGTTAACAATGTCGCTGGTTTCGTTGAGGAACTTTGGCTAGGGATTATTTCAAATGAATTGAATTCAAAAGGTTTCCCAGCTGTGGAATGACATTAGTTCTCCAATAGTTTCGAATGAACAATCGAAAATTTCTGATTAGCTTCGAGTTTTTGGTTATTATGAATGAGAATCTTCGTTTTTCAGGGATTTCATTGCAAATTTATGCTGTAAATGTTTTTGAAAAACTGTGATACTATGATTGGATATCGATGATGTTCAATGTGTTTGTTATATCGTACATTCACCTACCTTTATACCGTCACTCATTTGTCAACAAATGCTGAACGAGTGTTTTTTCGACAAAATCCGAAAATATTTCGGATTCATAATTCGTGTAAGTGGATAAATATCGAACGTCCAATCGACCAAGGAAACTGTGTTATTGTGGCATAAATTAATTGATGTTATCACATTAGCATGCAGCTATGAATGGCACCGTCCATTTGAATAGTAAATGTAAGTTTAATGATTGTTTTTTTATTCATCTTACCAGAAATGTTCCATATCTTTTGATTGTAAGTTTGCTTGCCATTTCTGACTTAAATGCGAATTTTCATTTAAAGCATGCGAACTTTTTTCAATATTCACTTCAAACAAATGCTAAACGAGTGTTTATCGTTATTGATAACATTGTTCTGTTCTTCCAATTGCATCACTCATAATCTCGTGAAATTCCTATATTGAGAGTGTTTTTGCATTATTGTTTGGATGATGTACGCTATCCGAATGGGCGACTTCTCGCAGATCGACCGCTTTTCATCTGTTCATTTTGTTAGAATTCATTTTAAGTCGCTGTTTAATTTTGATTATCGTTATTGTTGTTGTTGCCAGTATTAACTCTGAGTATGATTTGATGATAGATATCGAACAGTTTGTTATAGATACGGGCAGTTATATTTGCATGATATGAACAAATTCATTGATCGTTGTGATAATGTTGTGTTGACGAGATAGTCATTGTGATTCATTCTGTTCCATATGCAAGACTTTTGCACTTTGCGATTAAAAGGGTGGATGTGCATGTTAACCGAACGAATTTCACTGAAACTTCCTTTGCTATGGCAGCAGCATTTTAATGAGGAAATTGCTTACTCACGAACGTTGTTGAGTAGTAAACGGTAAATTAAAGTAGTAAGGAGTAAAAACCACAGAGTTTTATCTGATTGGTTTTGTTGAGTGGTAATATAAAGCAGTTATTGTATGGCGGAATGGAGCACTCTGATATGTGATATTTTAACTTTTGCGATATTTTAGAGTAATGCGACTGGATCGTTTTTGAGCAATACATACGTTGCATTACGGTATTGGTTACTTTATTGCAATTTTTTGTGGATATAAGGAAATTGGAGAATTCGAGCAGTCTGTGCAGTCAATGTTCATCTATGTCAATTTCTACATAAGCACCTTGAATAGTGAGGGGTACAGGGGACAGGTAGAAAATATTCTATAAACCATAAAAGTAACCTATCGGGGAGTGTATTGTGTGTGTTTTGTGACTGCTCGTCGCCAACGATTCGGTGGATTCAATCGGATCGGAAAAGTTTAAACGAGGATGCTGGGGAAGTTGTGAAATGTTATTGGGAATTTAGAAAGTTGAACATTGTTCGTATCTGATTGCACATGTGATCCTTGAAAGTGTCGCAGTTCCACAGTTTAATTCGCATATTGCTGAGTATCGTGTATCGTGAACTCATAACCATGTAATGCATAATAAGTACCGTATATCGTGAATTTTTTGTTTTATTTTGTTTGAACGATGGT